AAATGAGAACAAGAATTAAAAGGAGGAATTTGTACTCAATAGAACATTCTGACATTCTGCATACTCATAGAAAGAAACCTTTGGTGTTATTGCAATTACATTCATAAACTTGCACCCCAGTACTTGGAAGAGTTAAAAGGCAAACAAGAGGTTGAATTATAATATCACAGGGACATAATAGAAATTAAAAGACTGCACGTTGCTAAACAATTTACTGAGCAGATTCTATTTTGATTATTGTTAAAATGTACATTTTCCTTGAGAGAGCACAGGCAAACCACAGAGGCAATATTGGGTATCGGTAATTTAGGGAAATTAGTTTCTACTGAGACTTCTGATTGATATCCTTACGTTGGCCAAGAAATGATTGTGCAGTGTTTAAATACAGGGGACATGAGATTAGGAGGATAAACATGAATCAGAACGTTTTCCTTGAAGGGCCACTGACTTGTGGAACATATTGTTTGGTAATCATTGAAGCACAGCGAGTAGCATAAATCAGTTCAAGAGGTAATTAAATGCATCTCTGGAGAGAGAAGAGATTGAAACATATGGTTAGGTTGCTGAGTAGGGTCAGATGATTAAAAAGGTAGTTGGTTTATTGAGGCCTAATAGCTTATTCGTATTACTAACAAGGTTCTATGATTCTTGCATTGAAATTTCTACAGATCCAAAAATAACCACATCATTTATCCAGTTTAATTAATGTTTCCTCATTCTCCACATAGTTATTTTTAATCTATATATTTTTTTAAATCTTTATGTTTCTATTCATTCACTCTTTAGTGAAAAGTGAGCAATTTGTTTTATCTGTGAGCTGATTTGAAAAAAATCTTCGGTTGGAATCACTGTTCGGACTTGAGTGGTCCCTTTGCTTTCTGTGAAAGTGAGTGAAATGCGTGGGACTAGTATGAATCTAGTTCGTCAGCCCAAGCTACAGTATAAACCTGTTTATGATTAATTAATTAATGGACTTGACCTCAATTATAAATCAAGGCTATAAAGAGGCAAGATTTTTGCCTTCCCAACAATGTTGTCTTAATATACCACTGAAAAACCAGAGTAAAGCAGCCTTTACATGTGTAAAGAGCTAAAACTCACCGCCACCCCTCTTTCTGGTATTGGAAACAGTGCATAATGTTTGCTGTGCGCACTGCTTCAGCAGTAGCAATTATTGCTGTTTATAAAATCTCTCTGCATATTTTCCTGTTTTATTTCTCCACCTTGACACGACTCATCCGGAGCTCCATTTCATTTGTTACTTTGAGTGAAGTGGTCAAACAGCAGCAGGGGTGAAGACAGTAGGTTTGAAGTACACAGCTTATTCTTTTGCAGCTTCTTTGCTATTGGAGCAGTCCAAAGAGCAGCTTCTTTTACACCTCCAACATTTGGAAAATCACCAGAATGGCAGGTTTCCAAAAATAAAAGATCTCTCATAATTGTTATGCATGTAATTAGGAGCTGAATTGTGGCTGAGGTTGGATCTTATTTACCAGAACCAGTTTATTAATACTTGACAGAAAGGAGTGGCGATGGGAATCAGAATATCAGTCAGCAATTATTTGATATCTGAGCTTTGCTTGATACTGAAATTAGATATAAAATGTTGTTCTCAAAGTATGTGATGATTTATAAACTTCTGAAGAAAACAAAGTCTTATTTTAACAAAAAGTAGATGCTACGAGGTGAACGTGATATGTTTTCTCTGCTGTGTGCTGTAGGATTAATAGAATTTCATGTACTGGTGTCAATTTGGAAAGGTGTTTATCTAAAACAGGCAGAGAAAGATTTTATGTCGATGGCTTAATTATCGAGTCACTGCATTGTAATGAGTATTGTTAAGATTTTAGTGCTGTGACACAGTATGGGAGGAGCACTGAAGCGCAAGGTGAAGCAAAGTACAAAAGCCATGTTTATTTTTAGATTCCATTTCTGACGACAGGACTCTGGGGTTGGTTAAACTGAACTTATGGCCTTATCATCTGCTGTTTTAAAACCTGCAGTGTTGCCTATCTTCAGTTTGGCATTCTTTGCTTGTGTTGCTTTTTGATAGTACCAATTTGCTAATATTAGTATACCAATGACTCCCCCCAAGATTATCAGCTGTACAAATGTAACACACTGCTAAAGCCAGTGTGACTGCTTTGCTATTATCTAAGATGTTATTGAAGCCTATTGTCATAATTGACATCATTGCTAGAGGGTATCGTGATTGAAGAAGTGAATGGATAACTGGGCAAGGCAATTGGTCAAGAAAGCAGAGTGGGGACTGATAATATAGTTCAGGAAAGGACAGCCGGTTCAAGTTAATATGCGTTGATTTTGAAGTGATTGTTAAGATGTATAGGAAGTATCAAATCATAGCAAGTTCTCTATTTGTGGTTCCAGAATGTCTGTTCCCAGTGCAAAAATGAACAAAGTAATCCATGTGCACATGCACACTTGCATCCATGACTTCATTTCAGCACAACATTAAATTTCAAGCTAGTTGTAAGATTTGGAAAATCACAATGGCAGTTATAATATGCATATAAATTTATTTGCAAATTCACACTTCTGTTGGCTGTTAAATATCCTGGTCTCTATACTGGTGCAGTGTGATGTTTAAAATGTGACACAATCATAACTGTCACCAGAAGTGCCAATTTGCAAAGAAACTTGAAAACAACTAGTTATAATTGTATCAGAGATAGTAGGAACTGCAGATGCTGGAGAATCCGAGACAACAAGGTACAGAGCTGGATGAACACAGCAGGCCAAGCAGCATCATAGGAGCAGAAAGGCTGACGTTTCGGGCCTAGACCCTTCATCAGCTGACTTTTCCTAGATGTTACAACTAATTTAATGTAAAAAAAATCATTATTGTCTGATTACTTGATCCCTGATTGGAACAAATTTTAGTGCAACAGGCACAGGGTTTTTGTCACATTGGGGTGCAACTTTGGCCCTTTTGAACTGCAGCAGTGTGTCTACCAATGGCATTGCCAATGAACACAGCCTTACAATTCCATCACAAGCTATACAGGTACCAAGTTTGTACCACCTCTCTGCCATCATTAGCTATCATGTATTAACAGCAGTGTATGCTGTAGTCCAGAATGTTTAGCCTCCCTAAAATCAGTAACATGTTCCGCTGTAACTCAGATTTCAAATCTATATTGGATATGTTGCCGAAATTGCAATTCTTTTGCTGAAATCCACTAGGCCAGCATATTGATGGTAAGCATCATAGAATCATTTATATGAAAGTAGTCACATTTTGGAACTTTTTATTTACTCATGGGATGTGGGCATTGTTAGCTGGCCAGCATTTATTGCCTGTCCTTAGTTGCCCTTGAGAAGTTAGTGGTGAACTGCCTTCTTGAACTGCTGCAGTCCACGTGCTCTAAGTTAACCCACAATGCTCTTAGGGAGGGAATTTCAGGATTTTGACCCAGCGACAGTGAAGGAATAGGATATATTTCCAAATCAGGATAATGAGTGGCTTGGAGGGGAACTTGAAAGTGTAGATGTTTCCATGAATCTGCTGCCCTTTTCCTTCTAGATGGAAGTGATCGTGGGTAAGGTGCTGTCCAAGGATTTTGATGAATTTCTGCAGCGCAGCTTGTAGACAGTATGCATTGCTGCTATTGAGCATCAGTGGTGGAGGGAGTGGATACTTGTGGATGTGGTGCCAGTCAAGTGAGCTGCTTTGTCTTGGATAGTATCAAGCTTCTTGAGTGTTGTTGGAGCTGCACCCATTCAGACAAGTGGGGAATATTCTATCACATTCCTGATTTGCACCTTGTAGGTGGCGGACAGATTTTGGGGAGTCAGGAGGTGAGTTACTTGCCACAGTATTCCTAGCTTCTGACCTGCTCTTGTAACCACAATTCAGTTGAATTTCTGGTCAGTAGTAACAAGGATGTTGATAGTTGGGAATTCAGTGATGGTAACTTGCACGGTGTGGAAAACAACATGAAGTATCTGTAAACTCTGTGCAAAATTGAAATGACAGTTTTCATATTTTTAATCTTGATTGTAATTTTGTTACATTCAGAATGTATTTGAATTGGAGTCAACAGATCATACATTTTAATTTAAGTATGGCAGATTTGTGCTCAAGTGATCAACTATTTTGTCTGTCTTCAGTGTAGTCAGTTTTCAACTTGACAGAGGAGACTGGTGAGAGCAAAGCTTGCAAAATACAGCAATTTTTTAATTGATCAGCATCTATGGGACTAGTTTTCAAATATTCTCGTTGATCGTCAGGTCTACATAATCACTGTAAAAACACACTAAGAAATATAAATGTAATGCAAGGGATATACATGTCACTGTTATACTTTATTCACAGCATAAATTACTTAAATAAAATGCAACTTTGCCTTCAATAAAACTTAGCGGCAGAGAACCTTCTCATTTGCACCCACAACTGACCATTCAGACATTAGGGAGATTGCGATAATACAGTAAACTTCTGCTATTTGATGTGTTCAAATTTTGCCAGTGTATTGAGAGTGCTGGTTCATAAGGTGCCGGATAAAACAAAGTTTGCTGTAGTATGCATGATGCTTAGGGAAAAAGTGGTGTGGAACTTGAGAAGTTAAGTCTGTTGAAGGAAGGTATATGTCAGGATGGAAGTTTGCATAGGAAATTGTCCAAAAACTCGAAAAAGGACTCAATAAAGGTAATCTTGAGAACATTGAACTGCAGAAAATTTTTGGTCAAAATTGCTTGCACTGAAGTTTCAAGAATTGCCCTAGAAATGATTTAAAAAGAGAAGCTAAAAGAGAATTTGTTTATGCCACTACCATCAATACACATCCTTTATAAGCTAACGTTTGTGGCATAATAGGAGCATAAATAGATTTTGATGCATGGTGATATAGGACATATAAATATTGGCTTTTTGGAAATCTGTGCTGGAAGTCAATTATTATTAATTCTATAATAAAATTGAATGTTTTGTGGCCACTAATTACTGCTGGAATTCCACAGCAGAGCTGTGCTCTTTGTTAGAGATGTATTGTGCAAACTTAAATTCGATTTGTACATACAGTAAAGATACAGGATCCATACTGGAATAAAGGACCTCAGGTTGCTCCAATTCATGCTGAAAAGAAGAGAAAATTGGCTTTATAACGCAGTGTTCACAACCATCAACTCGTCAAAGCACTTGCATCCAAGTGCAATCACTGTTGTAATGAAGGACATGCAATTTTCAGTTAGCATACTACAAATTTCTATAAATGGCAATGTGACCATAGCCAGATAATCCACTTTTGTGATGTCAGTTGTGGGATAAATGGTCAAACAGGGGATAAATCTCCTGCTTTCAAATAAATCCACCTGAATAGTCAAACACGATTTCAGTTTTTAATATCTGATCCAAAAGATGGCACCTTTGAAATTGGCAGCCCTCTGACAATACTGTACTGGAGTGTCGAGATGTTATTTTTCTGTCAAGTATCGTAGTGGGACATAAAGAACTTTGTGGCTCAGCTGAGAGTGCAGTCAACTAAGCCATGGCTGACACAACTAATTGCCTTATACTTCAAACTCCCTTTTGAATGTTTAGTTCTTTCCCAAATGAATTAATTTACAAGGAAAAGGCAGGAAAGTGGAGTTGAAGATTATCAGATCAACCATGATCTCATTGAATGATGGAGAAGTCTTAATGGTCTAAATGGCCTGCTTCTGCTCCCATGTCCTATGGTCTTGTGTCAGCATAGAACCTTTGCAGTGAATAGCCAACAGATTCTGGACTGGAAAGTCTAAAGTGTTTCAATCTATGCTTTCTATAGTGTTCTTTAGCATGTAGCATTGTGGTGATTGTACGTAGATATTATGTTAAATATATGTAATTAAGTACTGAAGTAGTGTACCCATTTTTATTTGACGTTAGATCACCCATTGTTTTTGCTGCTCACTTGCTGCTTTTTCATACAGCAATTGTCTGAAAATTGGAAACTGAATGTAGCTTTTGTGCTTTCATGACCATCTTGAATACAGGCTGTTTTCATAAGTTCTTGAGGCAAATCATATGAAAGCAGTTTTCTATTTTGCCATAAAATATTCATGAAATACAAGCCTTTTGTATTGATGTGGCTTACATTAAGTAGAAAACTTCTTTCCAGATTTCATGAGGGCAGGAGTAGGTCAGCTGTAATCAACGTTGCTGTCAGGAACTTGTGGCATTTGACTTGTTTCACTGCCATAGAAATGTACAAGTCATGGCTAATGCATCAGCAACAGAGCATGGCATTCAAATGAACAGGAACTCCTGAATTTCAAAGCCAGAAAATGGATAAATTAATTAACAACTCTTGAGTTATGGCTAATATGCAGCAGGTAAAATTACTGAAAGCATTCCAAGTTCACTAAGTAACTGCCTCTTTTGAATCTGTTAAGTCTACATTACGGAATTTCCGAGTTTTTTTATACACAGTTAAAAGATTGCATAATGAAGAATGTGGGATAATAGACAAGATGCAAGTCTGACCCACTGTTTTAAGTGTCTTGATAAGAATGATGGTATTCAGTTCTCCACAGAAACACATGAGGGAATGGAAGGCAATAGGAAATTGGTTTCACCCAACTGTGTTATTGTCCGCTTTTAATGTCACCTTTTACTGTCTAGTTCAAAAGAGATGTCTGCATTCAAGTTATTTACTTGCCCGTTTTAGTGACAAATTATGCATATCTGAGACGTAGAATATGTTAATAGAATCCTAAATAAAAATTATACTGATGTTGATGAGCTGTTTCTAAAGATTTATATACATGCTAAGCTGAAAGGTTTCAACAAAAAGCTGGCAACATGTGAAAAAAATTAATATGAGGCCATATAATGTTGACTGAAAATGTAGTAGGCCAGTGATCTGCATTTGGACTCCTTATTCCAGATTATGACAGAAATTGAGAGTTCTCAAGTGGAAAGAAACTTCTGGCTTTAGACAGTGTCTATTTCATGTCTTTTTAATGTGGCAATGATAATCATTTAGAAGAGGCATTGTTTGCCCATTTTCTTCATCAAATCCCAGTTATCACTGAATCTGGAAATGGCACAGATCAATCTTTCTACTATTAGAGGATGAATGCCGTTGAACTCTCTAGTTAATTATTCCTGCTAGAAGAAAAATATTCCCCTAAAATTGCATAGCATTGTTCAATTTATCTTGTAGCAATAGTGAGAGGCAGGAGTCTGGAGCAGCATTGATTTTGGTACATTAATATAGCTAAATGAAAGCTGCCTCATCCGCTCAATGTGCGAAATGTGTTGGCATTATATGCTTTTGTGTGGAATACTTGAAAACTATTGTAGACTTCTTGAAATACTTTGAGAATAAATAGAGTATAAACAACAAATCATTTTCCTGAGGTTGTATAGGTGTATTAAATTCCCAATCAGAGAACAAAATCCAGTGTCAGTTGACATTCAGTCTTACCTATCCTCATTGAGAGAAGGCTTGCCATCTGCTGTTTAAGCAATGTTTCATTACATCCCTTTTAATGTAGAAGAGGGTATGGGAAGCAACTCTTTATTAATACAGATTGCATTACTGTAAATTGTTTATATCAGGAAATGTTTTTCCCCTCCTCCTATGTAGAGGAAGGTTTTATTTTTTAGTGTTCCCATCTTATTTAGGGTTTCTATTCTAAGTAAACCTTGGTAAAAAGTGAAAGGATTGTCTTTTGGATGATTTTTGAGCTCCAGTCCCTTTTACACTGTGGGCACAAAGAAATAGTTGTGACACAAATATTGTATGTAGGTTAATGAGATTGTTTTAGAACAGTTTATAGTAAAACATGCTTCTATTTATAGCAAATGTCAAAACTCAGAAAATAAACAGCAATATAAATTGCAATTTAAAAAACAAAACCTAGCCCTGATGTCATGAAATTGTTTACAGACTAAGTCTGAGTCAAAAGTCTTATATTACATTGTCCTGCAAAATGCTTTAAGACAATTGTAAAATATCCAAACATTACAAATCTATGTTGATTCAATAACTTATAAGTAACTTAATCACACTCAAACCTGGATTGTAAAACTATCTTAGATGCTATTCTGGAATATACGAATGACTCATTTTTTTGTTTTTCCGTTTGCTTTTTCTGTTTGTGTTAAAATGCTGCTTAAATTTATCAATTAAATTGTGGTCACCCCAATTTCTTGGACAGTTGCCATGTTTTTGTGATGCTAAGAGAAGGACACCACAGAGCTTAAGTTTCATATTCATTTAAACTTTTCAGGACGTTTCCATAGACAATCCTGTAGGATCTTGCTGTGGTTTAATACAGCAAAGTCTTACCTTCGTAGAAAATCCGTCAAACAACTTGTTCTGATAACTACACCGCTGGTACACAAACATGATGCCACATGCCCACAGACTTGCATAATCATTAATTACCAATGTCCCCATAGAGCAGGTAGAAGTTACTGAATGAGAAGAACAAACTGGAAAGATAAAGGTCATTCAGCATCTGACAAACAAATTGAGAGGTTTTGGTTGGCCACTTTTGAAGTGTTTTCTTCACCGTATAACCTTTGTAAGAAAGGTATCAGTTATACAGTACTTGTTTGTGATATTGATTAAGTATTACAAATCATGTCAGCTTTGTGTCCTGCAGTACTTTGTGTTGAAGAGTTTATGAATATTGAATACGAATGACCTCATTCAATCTGCTGTGGTATTTCAGGTAAGTAGCACAATGCTGTGTGTAAAACAGTGTTAATCACAAGGGTTTGAAAGCTTACCTTTCTCACACTTAAATACGATCATGATGTGGAGGTGCCGGTGTTGGACTAGAATGGACAAGGTCAGAAATCACACAACACTAGGGTATGGTCCAACAGATTTATTTGAATTCACAAGCTCTTGGAGCGCTGCCGCTTTGTCAGGTGAAGTAAAGAGAAGCACTCAGGTCTCTGCAGGTGATCAAGAGTGTCAGACGGTGTGAGTAAAGTGTCCACAACTGAATAGCAGGTGAAGAGATGACATATAATTAAGGCAGAGAAATAATTACAAAACACTGAAAACGAGGTGGTGCTGGAGACAAACCAAATGACCAGAATAACAGAAAAGGTATGAGTTGCATGCTGAAGGTCTAACCAAAGTAACAAGTAATCCAAAACTGTACAAACTAAGTAAGGTAGAGCAATCATAACAAGTTATCAAGGTGTTGGTGTCAAAACCAGACAGTAAGAATTATTTTATAGATATAGAACAGTATGATGGGTCACATGTGGTGCAACATGAACCCAAGATCACGGTTGAAGCCACTTCATGGGTACAGAACTTGGCTATCAGTTTCTGCTGAGTGATTTTGAGTTGCTGTGTATCTCGAAGGCCACACTGGAGGACGCTTTCCCAAAGATCGGTGGCTCAATGCCCTTGACCACTCAAGTGCTCCCCGACTGGAATCTGACAGTCTTAACCATTAACAGACACCTATTATTTGGCCTGTGACATTTTCACTCACACCGTTTCTATGATCTTTTGGTCTCTCTGATTAGAAATTCTGTGCCTGAGTGCTTCTCTTCATTTCGCCTGACAAAGCGGCAGCACTCTGAAAGGTTGTGATTTCAAATAAACCTGTTGGACTGTGACCTGGTGTTGTGACTTTTCTGACTTTAAGATCATTTAGCTTCCACCTTGCAAAGGCAGCTGTGTAGATGTTGGTTTGAAATGGAACATGCCCCTTTGTGATGTTGTATTTTAGAAGTTTTGGATTTCAGTCTAAGAACACTCCATTCTACATAAGCAATGTAAATAGATCTAAATGGCATATTTGGTACATGTCACAAGTGGTTGGGGTATGCCACCAGTAAGGGGTAGAATCTCGCGAAGGAAAATTTAAATGTGACTACAAATTGTAATCAGTCTCTGTCTTTCCTGTAGATGCCATACAGAATACAGGTGTAGTAGTAACCTGGTTAAAGACAGGTCCTCTGTTAATTTCTCCAGGCCTTATTGACTTGCATTTAATTCTTCAGTTGGTCATAGGAGCCTCCGATTTGCAATTTCAAGTTGCTTAATGTCATCGGTCTGTTCTCCATTTTGATTTACATCCCTCTGATTTCCTTCAATCACCACCTTCAGCAATTCCCATGCTTTAGAATATGATCAGTCCAGCCTTTGCTTTTTCTTGATGATATTCACAAACAATTATTCCTCCTCCAAAACCTTTAGAATTTCTTCATTGTTTTTGTGTTCTGTCCAGCCAATCCCCTCCATCCTTGTCCAGCACATTCATAATTTCTAATCTTTTGACAGTCCACTTTTCTTAAAATCTGCAATTCGGCCATCTACAATTCCAAGTTGCAAATCTTGATAGTTCTTTAAGCTTTCTACTCACTATTATACTGAGCAGTTCTGTTTGGGGAATATATTCTTTGCTATTGCGAATCTCTTTTTGATTTCTTTGACAGTAGTCATCTTCTGACATGATGCTTCTCCGGTACTTCCATTGTAATAACTGTTCCAGCTGTTAATTAATTAAGCTTGATGCCTACTATCCCATTATTACTCCAGTCCTTATAACTGTCATCTTTTTTACATTAATTTTCATTCCATAAATCATCGCATTCACTTATTTTGGATTCTTAACTTTGTAGATTTGCTGTGCTGATCATGTGCAAATCTCACCCCCTACATTAACTGACCTTCTACTTTTTGACTCCTTTCTGTACATTGACTAGTGCTTCCACTGTGATCAGTGCAGAGGTCCAGGATGAAATTTATTGCCTAAAGCTGTAATCATTTTTCAGATGCATTATATTGTATTATGTTGAGACCTATTTTACACATTGCTTCAGGTGGTCACTTTTTTTAACATGTGAACAATGAAAATCTAGATATAGTTGCTTCGTTAATCAATAGCATTTAATCATTCTGGCAGATAATGGAATACATTTTAAAGTGAACAGCTTAACTTTGTATTGGTAGCATGAGGAGGGGTATTGCTAATAACTAAATTTTGCTACCATATTTTCCTGTACCTTTGAGTTTCAGAAGGAATTTCTGAACCAACTGGTGCAGTGGAAGTCCTGCTGCTATATAAGGGAGCCAAATTCTAACTTGAGAATTGGCACCTAGTTGCTGTTGTCATTGCACGCCCTCTTCCTCCTCTTAAAACATAATGTTGATACTGGTCAATGTTGTAATAAACTTATTAATGGATTAAAAAATTATTATAAAGGAGAAACAAATGAACTAATGGGGCAGATTCTTGTAAGATTCTGAGTGATAAGGGTTGTGGTGAGGTTGTTGGTAAGTGCATTGAGAACCATCTGAATGTAAAGAGCCCCTCCGCCATCTTTTACACTTTTCACAAGCGCCACGGTGGGATTCACATCGGGCAGTAGCGAGATTCTAATTTACAGGGATTGACATTTGTTTAAACTCCTTATTAACACCACAACTCACTTCATTAATATAAAGACTCCCATCTTAACAAGCTCATCAAACAAGCTAGACGTCAAGAAAGCTTGACAACAAAACCAAAGCGAACTCCTGATAGATTCTGCTCGCCACTTTCTCTGAACAAAGTCCATATTGAAAACTGGGCAGCAATATCTGAGCACACTCCATGGGTACCAGCCACACACCCATTTGAGTCCATGGAGATTGGCATCTTACATGTACCAGCCTCTAAGAAGAGTCATCTGCAAATCTCTTGATGCTTTTGCATTTCAGTGCTGTACCTCAAACTGCACTGGCAGCTCTAATTGTATTACTGTATCAAGGACACTGCAACAGGGACATGCCCCCTGCTCATGGACTACTTGACCAAGCTGAATCACTGGCTTCTTTGCTCAATGTCATGTGCTCATTCACATTGACTCTATCTGGATGCTCCCAGCATCCCTGCCTTGAATGGCCTTGCCTTTTTGTACATTATCCTCTCAGCCAGAGACACCAGGATCATATTACTGCTGTCTTGCTTTGCCATTTAGCACAGGCACAATGCCAGGAGGCTTGTCATAGTTGTCAGCAGGTCTCTATCAAGCTGGGGGAAATAGCCATTGCAGGGCTATTCCAGCACATTAAACCAAGGGCAGACGATGATACTTGTCCTGGTTGGCGTTGTCCAAGACAAGACCTTCTCAAAAAGTGTGAGAAGCCAAATGGCAGGCAGAAAGCAACCCATCTCATCTCTTTCTACCATATTGTGGGCTGCATTGCTAATGAGAGCAAGGCAGGTGTTTAGGACAACAGATGTGAGTGGCACAGCTATTACTGTTGGTGTACATTGGGAGGGTCTTGAGCAAGTGAGTAGGCAGCACAGAGGGCATGCAAGGCCAGTGTGTTGAGGGCTGGGGTAGGTGAAGCAAGTGGGAGAGTTATTGCAGGAAATAGTGAGATGGTATGAAGAGAAATGAAAACCACCAGAACCATTGGTATACTGGAAAAATAATGCCACAGCAGCAAAAAGGAACTTAGTATATGATGTCTACAGTTGATAATCCCTCACAAAAGTAAGAAAGACACCCATTCTGCAATATTGACCGTTCCCATCCAAGTTAATGTATGTATCATCTTAAAAAGCACACCAGCTTGTACCAATGAGCCTTGGGGGTTGGATACAGTAGCAAAGAGATAGTGAGTTTGAGTTATTGGCAAGAAGTTGGTGGCACTTATGCTATCAGTGTGGAGAAGGATATTGACCTTCTTCCTGCAGTGCTGGCATTCCTCCAGACAACTGTGACTGTTTCAACCTGCGTGGCATTGTCTGGTCTCATGCCATCCACTACTGGTTCTTGCAGAAGAGGAAGTCTCGTCTGTCCCCTGTTCCATTCAGTAAGACTCGTCTGTCCCCTGTTCCATTCAGTAAGACATCCAGAACTCTGACCACAAAGCATGGCACCAATTTTTTTTTTCCCTTGTCTGCCATGTCTGGGGTAAATTTCAGCAAATGTGCGGTGCACACCTCTGCACTGATAGTGCAGCAGGGTTAGGGTTAGATGATTGAATGTTTCCCATTCAGAATATCGGCCAGTTGAAACCTGGCGTGAATGCTTCTCCCAGCAAATTTCAGCATGGGACCTGAACCCAGACTTAGCCCAAAGGTAGGGATGCTGCCCCAAGGTTTCCCTATCCAATTCCATTTAAGTGGAGTGTCACTGTTCCAAAGTTATTAGATGCTTCAACTAATTAATTTAGGTGTCGTATAAGGATTCTGATGTCATGTTTGAGAAGTTAATGTACGCTGGTAAATCGTGGAAGCATTCAGTTATTCACGTGTAATAATTAATAAAGAGGGATCTTGCATTCTAAACCAGTGTTTGCAAACTTCTGCGTTTAATTAGGGTAGTAAAATCTACATCTCTATGCATATCTTTCTTCGTCGTCTCTTTGTTCTTTTAGTCGCCCATAAGGAAAAATGTTTTTGAATGGTTTAGCTTCAGATCATTTCC